CACACCGCCCAAATCACAGAAAGCAAAGACAGGGACTAGGAGAATGAAGAACTGCCCACTGTAGGAGAATCACAGTATCACAGAATGGTTTGGGTTGGAAGGGGCCTTAAAGATCATCGAGTACCACCCCCCTGCCATGGGCAGGGACACCTCCCACTAGCCCAGGTTGCCCAAAGCCTCATCCAGCCTGGCCTTGAACCCCTCCAGGGATGGGGCATCCACAGCTTCTCTGGGCAACCTGGGCCACTGCCTCACCACCTGCACAGTAAATAATTTCTTCCTTATATATCATCTAAATCTACTCTTTCAGCTTGAACCCATTACCCATCATCCTATCACTACTCTTCCTGAGAAATGAAAAACTAAAATTGGCAATGCTGACTTAATTTCTCAAATCTGGCATGCAGGTCTGTACTTCCAGTAAGCCTGGTGCTGGCCAGCAGATTTGACTTTTATTTTAAAACCAGATACATTTTAATTATGTTCCCTCTAGATTTTATCTTAATGAATTGGAAATATCTGAAGAGTTAATTAAAAATACAAACTTCATTTGATTCTATATCAAACCTGACATTATGATCTTTTTATCTACAAGGCAAGAATTATGTGGGATCAGAAGTCTGAATTTTTTCCCTCCTCCTTTGTTCAGTATAAAATCTTGTAAGCTTTTCTTTCAGTCAAGGTGAAAGCAATATTAAGTCTCAGAAGTGAAACTTACCAAAGACATGTAGTTCTGTGAAATCCTTGTCCTGTAATCCTGGCTTTCTATTCACCACCACTATTCAATATCCCACTTTCTATATAAGCTTCACAATGTATAAGCAGTTGATGAGATTTATTTGTTACACTCCTGTTTTCCTTCTTCATAAAAAAACTTTATCCATCCCTCCGCTCCCGGAGGAGTAACTCTGATGTCTGTGGTTGTTTCTGCTGGGCTCGCTAATCCAGCAGCTCTGTTGAAGATGCTGGGCTGTTGGTAGAGGGTGGAAAGCAAGGGAGGAGGAGAGTTGTGCTTGTTAAGATTTAGGACAACATATGTAGTGAATTTTAAAAACATTGTTAAGATCCAGTTAAATAATTATGAATAAACGTGGTTGATTGTGTGAGTAGAGATACTGGCAGGTCACTTCTGAAAGATGCTTCATGAATTAAAGCTTGACTGTAATACTTTGGACTTCTCTGAGGGACTAAACAGAGTTATTTCTGGTCATTTCGGAGACATGACAACAGATGAGATGGAAGTTGAGTCTGATCTATGCTAATGAGTCCTACATTTACTGTTTGCAGTGTTGCTCCTGATGCCTGTAGCAGCTCCATGTGTGTTTTTCTTACAGCCTCCGAGTTCATCTGTCATCATATTTTCCTCTTAAATAAATACCTTTCTGGATAGAAATGTTAAAAGCTTTCTTATTTGTTGTTAAGGATAAAACGACAGAGTATTGTTGTTGTTAAATATGTTCTTTGTCTCTAACCTTTTAAAAGTAAACTGCCTTTAAGGTGAAATTAAACATACAGAGAATTCAGTATGCAAATAGCATGCGCACCAGATGATCTGAAGGAAGCCTGCACATTTCCATAGAAAACAAATGTGAGTGTAGGAAAGCAGATGCTTTCTACCAGCAGAGTGTACATACAGTTCTCAAGAGGACCTGAACAGCAATTTATTTTCAGACTGCTGGAAGTATGCAAATTCCTACAGAATTAAATGTGATTTTTTTTTAAAAAATGGCATCTATTAAGGACAAGACAGCCCAAAGAGGCCATTGGGAACTTAATAATTTAATCAAGAACTTTAACAGGCTCAGCAGTATATCTAAAGTCAGTGACTCAAATGTCATCTGTTTTTAGCAAAGACATAAGTGGTCATGTTGAAAATATGTCTTTATGGAGTATGGCATTTGGAGTGTTTATCTGTGACCATGGAGAAGTACTGCAGTATGGTATGTATAGATTTTCAGATGATTCTCCATCAGAAAGCATCATCTGTTCACTTGAGCTGCTCAGAGGGTATAGTCAGCGTTACATCTGTGGTGTTATCACCAGCATTACGTCTGCTATTTTTGACTGTTATTAGTTTAACCCAGCATGCCTGGGTAAGTTTGATTCTGGCCTGACTCACATGTAATCACCACAATTATTAATTAAATTCTTACTGCTGATGTGGTTCTGCGTGATGGCCATGGGACTGGATGGATGTTACTGAGATTATTCCCTGAAGGCAGGGGAGTAGTGCTAAGTGTGGGGGCATAATCTGGCACAAGGGGTATTGCTGGCGATCTGGCAGCCAGCTGCACAACCATGGGGACTGTGTTTTTTCCTCCTTTCTGCAAAAGCACGGTGTTACTGGAGCGGGGACGAGCACACGGAGGGCAGAACTCGGGCTGGCCAGGCAGTGCTGCCTCCCCTCCTCCTCATGACCCTTACCAAACCCAGCTGCTCAGTGCATCCTGCTGCTTTTTTGTCTCTTAGCAATTCCATTTAATGACTCCATTTGTACAGAGAGATGCCCGAGTGGGGTTAGGGAGGGCACGAGATGTTGGTTTAATGGAATGTGCGACATCACATTTAGTACTAATTTTGGCTAAACATGTAAGGTCGGATGTGTCCATTTAGATGCACTGGAAGCGACAAGTTTTCAGGCCTTTTGAAAGCTGTCAAAAGGCAATGAAGGTCACTGCTCATATCTTTAGGAATTTAACTTCAAGCATTCATATATGACAAGGCTTGGCCAGGCTTCTCATGGCAGGAAACCCCCTGGAGCCTACCGAGCCCCACTGTGCTGGCGAGGTTTCATAAACATAGTGAGTGGCTGGGCTGTGTCACCTGCCTCTCATACACTCCAGAAGCGAGGAACAAAGTAAGCAGATCTAGTGTTATCTCATTGCAAAGCAGAAATACTTGACCCGATAACTAGAATTAACCTGGTCAGCAGGGGAAGACACTGCGATCACAAAGGTGAGATTGCCAGGTAAGGTCATCTCTGCAAGCAGAGTCTTCTCAGCCTTGTGGGTTATCTTCTTTGTACTCTGCCTGTGTATTTTAAAAACACAAATGAGTGCATCCTATCTGCAATACTCGTGCTGCCCATGGACTGGGCATAGAAGGTTGTGAAAATGTTCATTCTCTGGTGTTTTCCACTAGTTAAGAGTCATCGTCTTTCAGCTGAATAATATGTAATTTTCTTCTTCACGCAGGTTGTAATCCTTGGCAAACATTCTAGAGGCTATCACTACATGTTAGCTAACCTGGTAAGAACTTTCCCTTATTACAAGTATAGCTAAGGTATTACAGGGTAATATATTCTGTTCAGGTTGTGGTAACTTCAATCAGCAAAAGAGGAAATGCATGGATGAGTTCTTGGATTTTGAGAAATTACTTCAGAAAATACTAGAACTGGTATGTTATAGTCATTTGTACTCAATTATCGCCTTTCTTTTGTCTAAGAAGCTCATATCCTCTATTAATTTTAAAATAATTTAATTATATGTTTTCTACCAATTTGTATCCTCATAAATAAGATCCTTGATAACCATAATCTTCTATGTAGCATATTTGGAATTTAAACACTCCAGGAAGAATGATTGTGGCGTATTTGTGTATAAAATAAGCGGTAAAAAGCTGCAAATTAGAACAATTCCATGAAGTAAACCAGCCAGACTGTATAGCTGTTCTTTAGTATTTCAAAGGGTAGGGTGGTGCCTGTGTATGCAATGACCTACCAGGAGAAGACAGTACATTTTATCAGAGCTGCTTCTGGATTCTAGAATTGACTTTCAGGGTTTATGATGCCTTTGAAACACCATCTGCTAGAGTTCCTTAGAAAAAGTGTTATATTGTAATTGATCCTGCAGCAAGACTAATTTTGGGGTTCTGTGTCTATGGTGAGTGGAAAAAAAATGTTTTTCCAAAACTCACACTTTCAAGTTAGCAATCCCACTGTATCCATGTTTTGGTGTGATTAAAGCAGAAAAGACAAAATTGAGAATACCCTTATTTACTATAAGTACTGTATGACTTTAAGGTGTGCCATTCTGCATTAGAAGAACCAGTCATGATCTCTCTGATTAGTGTGTGCCTGGAATTGCAGGGGCTCTCACTCTGGGTTACCTTTTAGCATGTGTAACCGTTGACGTTCAGATAAACAAGACTGCAATCAAGTCATACTAATCAAAAAGATGCCAATTTACTGCCTCATGTATAAATAACAGCAGAGTAGGAGAGAATCATACCCTCCTGTTTGCAAGTGAAATGTTCTGCTGTGACAGAGAACTGCCTAGCAAGGATGCGTGGGCTTTGCCTCCGCAGAACAATTCGGGTATTAAGTGGTTTTCTGCTCCCAGCACTGAACCTTTGTGTGCACTTTGCTGTACAAATGGGATCGAGGTCTTTGACCAGTTTTCACCATGATGAGAAGATAAGAGGAAATAGTACTTGAAGTTTCCCCACTGTTTTCTTTCTGACCAGTGAATATTACCTACCACGTTGCCGCAACACAACAGGGCAGTTTTCTATCGCAAAGGTCTGAACAAGAAGACATTTTAAATTCTGCTCTATGCTTCTATCAGTTGTCTCCTTGGTAGAATATTTTCAGCTAACAAGGGAAATTAATCCGTTTCTTTTGTGCTATGCTTGTAGCAGGTAAAACTGAGCCAAAGAAAAGGGACTTTGGATGGCAACGGTTCTTGTTTTCTCCATGTGTCCTCCTAGGGCTTCACAGACATTGTTCTGGAGAGAGTAATGCATGGAGGTGCCAACATTACTGGATTCCAGATTGTTAATAATGAAAACCCAATGGTTCAACAGTTTCTACAACGCTGGGTGAGGCTTGATGAAAGGGAATTCCCTGAAGCCAAAAACTCACCATTAAAGGTATTTATTTTACCCTGACAGTGATGGAGGCTATATGAGTTGCTTTTAACAATTATTTGGGGGTTTTTAACCCCAGGTGTGTACATGTGTATGATACAGATCCCCGATTAGACTATGTTGTAACATTCATTGCCCTTCCAGAAGAAAGATGCAGAGGCTGTTAGTCGGATACACGTGCTCACCGTGGTGGCAGTTCTGTCATTGTGCAGTGGATATAAAAACTCTTAACTTGATCTTCTTCAGGTAGTCTTGGGATGGGTGTTGGGGTGAGTAGTAGCTCTGGATTCACTGGATTCACTGCTGACAGTTGCCCTCATAACCCTCAATGCCCCTCAGTGGTTAATCTTTACTTAACCACTCTGGATATTATATCTGCAACCAATAAAATTTTCAAAAATTTTTTGAATTAAAGTCCCAGGTTCACCAAAACTGTCATAGGTTGGGTGAACTAAAAGCTCCTGTTATTCGGAGACTTGCAATCTGTTACTGTCTCCCCCAGATTTTTTTTCTGCTTCAGCATCTCTGTAGTAGAGGGGGATGCTATTCACTGTCCAGTCAAGGAATGCACCAAGGATACTCTGTCCCATGATGGAAGTCATAAAATCTTCTAGGAGCACTGCTTATTATTAATAATCCTATTACATTCCTTCTTTCTCTTGGTCTTTTGGTGAGGCCTGCTCTTTTTCATCAGTACACACATGCGAATAAAACCTGGGACTGGTGGTGAATGAAGACTGGACTCGCTCCCGGTAGTCCAGTTCTCCACGTTGTGTATACTGACTGTCTCAGGGAAGCCAAACCTGTCTGAGAACCAGTCATGATGAGACAGTTCATCTCTTTCCTGCTTGATTTGGGAGGGACATGTGCAAAGTGATGAACAGATTTGGAATTTGAAATTACTCCAGTAAACTGGAGTAATGTCTTGGTATTAGTACAACAAAATCCAGGGAAGCGTAAGACACTAACTAGGAAGGAAAAATCTGCTCCAGTCCAATGCGTGGGGGGTTACCAGGGCAGGCAGGAGCACGGTGTTGGGCTAGAGACAGAACAGGAACCATTTATGAGGTCCCACTGCCAGAACGCCAGTGCCATTCAAAGGCATATTTTTCCATCCTTGGGATCATGTGATTTCTGTGTGGAAGGAAGGTTATCTTAATCCCATGCCATCCTGCAGCCTTGCTGACATTTCAGAGGAAGCAGAAAAAGGCAAACAGAGCCCCACAAAACTCGGATTAGTGTATTGTTCCCTGTTGATTAGGACCTAGGCTTCCTTTCCAAAGCTTCCTAGCAATGATGCAGAAGTGAAGATAAGTATCGTGCTAATCTTAAAAGCTCTGAAATATATAAAGTTAACCTGGGAAGATTTTATTCCACTTGAAAGCAATTTACCTTGAGGGAAAAATTATTCTCCATCCTTAAAAAAGAGTCTTAAGTATATGGTACAAACACAAAAATTACATTACCTTTCCACAAATGTACCACTCATTATAGAAATGTGCACAGTATTTGTCAATCAGACAAAAAAGCATACTTAAAAATTGATGTACAATATTTTTGATTAGGAAATAAAATTGCCTAGAGATTAAAGCCCTGATGTTTAATTTATTCTGTATTTTATCAGCCTTTCCCTTCTCTCTGTCTTTTTTTCTCTTTGCATGCTCATGCATTTATAAGTAGAATTCAAATAAAGTAGAAAATTAGATAGCTCTCTTGGCATGACTTGGAAGGGACTGCATTAAGGTTACTGACAATTGGTGCAGTCTGCTGAAAAAATTATCAGCGTGTAAGTTTTGTGTAGTGCTAGATTGGACAGCTATTACAAGATTTTTTTTTAATGCTAGAACAAATACCTTAAAATTACTATCTGATTCTATATTGTTGTGTGTGGATGTGATGTTAACTTACTAAAAGAGGAGAGGGTGATCATTGCAAAGCATCACAGGAAGAGGTAAAGGTGGGCAGGATCCAAAGAGTGCCTGTACCAAGATACAGCTGAAGGAAGAACCATCCCACACACACCCAGTAAGAGCTGATAAACTGCTGTCATTTAAACTCAGTAGGAATGGCTGCTGTGGAAACCTCTTCAGAATCCTACCTTTGCACTCTTTTTTATCAGATATGATTCGCTTCATCTGCATGCCTCGTTCTATGGAGATTTCCCAGGGGTTTATATCAAACTGAAGAGCTTGCAATAAGATAATGCACATTTTTTAAGAAGTACAGACCACCAGTTGTGCTATCCTGCCCTACAGGATGGAATTAACTTCTGGATTTACTAAGTCTTATCGACCAAGAAAATAGCTGAACGTGCAGTTGAAACTTGGATTTCCACCTTTCTAATTCATGCACAGGCAGCGTGTCTTCTGGCACTGACTCCGGTGTAAGGTTCCTCGGGAGCCAGGAGCTCTGCGGTATCACAGACAGGCAAGGGCAGGCACAGCAGTACATGCAGATACCCCTTACACTCTCTTTTTTCTTCGTTCTCTTACAACCACTGTGGAAATACGAAGGGTCAGTTACAAGGGGTTTGAAATCTGGTCTTACACAGTGAGTACATCCAGTTGCTCCCAGTGTGTACATGTTGAAGTGGTCTCCTGTGCCCAGACCCCTAAATTACAGGGATGCTGTGATGCCGGTGAAAACTGGTGGTGTCATGTGCAAAAGATGAAGAACTTTCAGACAAACATATAACTGTGGAAGAAATGTGAAAAAAACACCTCCATGTTATTTCATAGGCATTACTAAATGTATAGCATTGGGGGGTGTCACCAGAAACATATGACAAGCAAGGGGTGAAGTTGACAGCAGCATGAACAAGTCGTTAAGGAGTCTGGGGGTTTTGTTTTGTTGAAGAGTTGCTGCTACACGAAGCTTACCACCCTCCTCAGATTTATCGTGGAGTAAGAGAAGGCAGATGGGCAATTACCAAGGAGATGCGATGCCTAAAGTGTATTTTGTGATTACTTGCTTGTATAGCTTTCTTCTAAGAAAAGTAATCTGATCTATTCCTTGCTGCAGATGCTACCTAATCAGGATTGTGGTCCAAACAGAAATGATTTATGTTAACGTCAATTCAAAACTGTCTGTCTTGGCAATCTTGTTAAAAAGAAAAAGAATACTCAAGAATACTCCAAGCAAAAACCAAATATGAGCTCTTCTTTGCTATTGGTAGCAGTATGGACCAGCATGGAATTGCAGACATTTGTAGTGACCTCATTTAGATGAGCAAGCTTCCAATTAAGATTAAACCAGTTTTGTTATTTTGTTGCTATATGCTATGCAAAATTAAAATATTTTTAATTTGTTAATTTAAATATAATTGTTAAACTACATAAAGCATCTGTGGCTAGACAGAGACAACTTGTAAGCAGGATTCTTCTAAGAGTATTTTAACTAAGAGAAGGGCTAGACCTGATAAACCTGGGGCAATTCTAAGATTGCATTTTGTCAACATATTTTATTTGCATCAATTTCAGTATACATCTGCACTGACCCACGATGCAGTCCTAGTCATAGCAGAGGCTTTCCGTTACCTCCGAAGACAGCGTGTGGATGTCTCCAGGCGAGGCAGTGCTGGAGACTGCCTGGCTAACCCTGCAGTACCATGGAGCCAAGGAATTGATATAGAAAGAGCGCTGAAAATGGTAAGGGCAAACATACTATGTTTGTGTGTATTCCACACCAGCAGCAATTCTGCTGGGACCGAACTTGCATCCTACTCCCTGTACACAGAGTTTCTGTACTCACACAAACAGCTGCAGCTCCTCAGGAAAAAAAAAAAAAAAAGAAAGAAAGAAAGAATGAATTAATGACAAACTCCAAAGGATGGCTAAAATATATTCAATAGAGGGCAAGGCATAACAAATTAGCTTTCAAAACTTTGGCCGAAATCACTTCCCTCTGGCACTGGTGCAGCAGCCGCCCCATTGTCTGCATCAGAGCACCGAAAATCTGACTCCCCTGTGACACCCAAGCTTCCCACGAGAGTGAGGATGAGCCATTTTGCAAATGAACATCTATTGAGGGTTTCTAAAGTCAAGCTAAGGCTGGAAATCTGACTAACAGAACTAGTCTGGGTCTTCAGCATGTGTATTGTAAATCTTGCAGGGATACGTTTATTTATGGACTTAAACACACCTATGCAACTTTTGTAATTTGCCAGTAAAAAGTCAACTCAGATGGGCTCAAAGCAGTGGAAAAAATGTCGTTGGTCATAGCAATACTGCTGGATTTCAACACCAGCCTGAACCTTGACACAGTTTAGCCTCAAACCAGTTCTGATTCCTGGCACGGCTTTGTACTCAACCTGATTACCTTCTGCATGGCCTGTTTTTTATCCCTGGCACTAGTTACTGTGTGGGATCCTACCTCGCTTATGTCTCTAATTTTGTTGATTTTTAACTCTTTTTAGACTGCTATGTGTGTTAAAGCAAGTGACAACAGGAAAAATTGTATAATGTTTTTATAGCTATAAGAGACAAGAATATGGTCTGCTTCTGATCTGGATCAAATAACTCTAAACCAAACCTGTTAGAATCGATTTCATTAATGCAGGCATGGAACTGGACTGAGTGAGATCAGAATTAAAGCCCATGTTAGGTATAAACAAATCCTATCTTAATTACCTCTTTTTTTCAGTTACCAAATTGGAAGGATTATATCAGAAGGTTATAATGAGTTCAGATTATATGACTCTTAAGAGTGAGAGGGATGGTTCAGTCTCACATTGCCAGAGCTCTTTTTATGCCATTACGTCCCTTCCTAACAAATGCCCTAACTGCACATTCACTAACGTAGCATTACACACTGTTGAAGAGAAGTTAATTAAATTCAGCCTTCACAAGAGTTAAAGAATTTGTACTGTCTGTTTGAACTTAATATCCATCAAAACGTAAGACTCCTCTGAATGAGATGTGATGTATTCATGTCACCAAAGAAAACTAATGGTGTTACAGGACACTCCCTCATTCGGGAAAATTTATTTAAAAACACAATTCATGAGCTACACAAAGCCAGACTCATGACTGACAAAAAGTGCAGAAGTTTGTCTTTCAGCTGGTTGCCTTGTATTGTTTCAGCTGTTCAAAGTCATCTAAGTGAGGGTTATATACACTTCCACCAAGTGCTACCCACGATCATCCACGCTGCCTTCCAGACCTCACCCTGCCCATCGCAGTCACTCCCTCTACTCAGACAATGATTTTGGATCTTTGCTTCAGGAAAAAAAGCTTCTGTTTAACAATGTTTCCTCTCCAGTCTGTAGCAACAACTCAGATAAGAATATTTTTTCCAAGACATCCTTAAACTATCCTCTGCCAGCAGAAGGTTCAGTGCCGCGCTATAGTGGCAAAAAGGAAATGGATATACCTGAGTCTGCTTCCCTACAGCCTTGAAAACTGTGCATGTCTGTATTTCTAAAGCTGATCCTAAGACATCAGGTCAATGGCAGACGGTTTGCCTGGAGAGCTCTGGGCAGTTATAAATAGTCACTCCATTTGTGATTGCCTCCGCACGCTGCCACCAGCAGAGCTCCGAGTCCTGGGGAGTCTTCCCACCTGGGTGCAGCCAGGTTTTGAAAAGTGCTGATTTTTCCCACCAAAGATAGAAACAAATTGAATTTGAAGTCAAAAGGTGGCACGTCCACAATGCTCACATCTCAGTACACACCAGGATGCAGCCAGCCTAACAAGCTCTGCTGAGACAGTCACTGCTGTGCTAAGGGAGCCTGGCAGCTTCCAGCAAGTGCCAAAAGCAGGCACAGCAGCTCACATCTGGCTGCAATTATGTGTCAACTACCTTACAAATACTTTTGCTCAGTCTACAGTTGATAAAACCTTTTAGGGGCAAATTTGGCTTTCAAAGTTCTATTCACTTCTCTAGTTTTCTGGAGACGGGAATAACTCGCATGTCCTTCCAGCCCCTGAAATGATACGAACTATTTTAAGACAGGTTCTAATCTACTTACTGATAACAAAAAAAAAAAACAACAACAAAAAAAAATCACACTCCTTATATGTCAGTCTGAATTTGGCTCACTGGGTAATCTGGGGTCCAAGGAATTTGGGCTGTTTTATCTAGCCTTGTTCACCATAACAAGTTTGATTGCACCATCTCTCAACCATAAATAGCAGATCAGTCACCAGCGCTGAACAGTTCCCCTTTGACTAGTCTTCCATCACTTACCCTGTAACTTCTACTGCATTTTGCTAAATAGTAAAGCTAATTTACCCCTGCTGAAGTTTCAGACTGTTACCCCTTCTGCCTGAGATGACAGCTTGTCAGTGCTGATAAGTGATAAATGGAAATACCTCACTCTTCCATACAGGAAAGAAGAAAGATTTTTTTTCTTTGAAACAAAGTACTTCATACTTCCCCTTAAGATGATTCATGCGAGTAGGTAATGATAATGACTTACCGTCTGTACACCCATCCATCCCGACTGAGACCAGAACTCCATAAGCAGTAGAGACGATTGTCTGTGCTCATTCAGAAAAGACATTCATTCCTTTCTCCTGTGCTGGGACTGATCTTAAAATAAAGCACTTCCCAGAATGAGCAGTGATATGGGATTCTGGTCCATGTCACAAATCACTCTGTGCCATATTGTGAGGGGTTTAATGTGCCTGTGCCTCGCTGATGCTCCATGGTGTATCAGTGAACCCAGCGTGACTAAGCATGGCAGAATCAGCCTTTCTTACATTTAACATACGTGCAGGGCTAATTTCACTTAAATGCAGCTTACTCTGCAGTAGTGAGTCACCAGCTGAATACTAACTAACAAAGAAAATGTACAGCTGAAACTGAGAGAATTGGGATTGGGTTTGTTACAAAGAACATAACTGGCTGTGTCAGAAGCGCTGCAAGTCTCTTACATAGATAAAAATTGTGCTGGAGCTAGTGGGTTCCTGCAAAATGTAACAGAGGGATAAAATAAAGTGAATCTTTTATTAAGATGGGTTTTTTTCTGTTTATTCCCTTAAGGTGCAAGTTCAAGGAATGACAGGGAACATCCAGTTTGACACCTATGGGCGGAGAACAAATTATACAATTGATGTGTATGAAATGAAAGCTGCTGGGTCACGGAAGGTGAGTTTCAAGATATGCATCCCGATTTCACATCTTCACAAATATTTATTCCAATAATCTAATGAAACCATCCAGGCGCTGTAATAACAGAGCCCTGAGGCTCCATGCCTTCTTGCTGTCTTCCCTGTCCCAGGAACCTTGTTCTATTCTGTTCCTGGACCAAACCACTCACACTGCTTAATATCTTCATTGGTTTCCATGTCAACTTTAGACCTCATTTTTTCCCATAAAACCCTTCTGGAGCTTTTCCACTGCCAAGCATAGTATCTGCTGTCATGGTCCTGTGCTCAGCCCCATCTCCTAAATTCCGCTCCATCTTTCCCTTCGTCTCTGTAACAGGCAGTAGTGAAGCTGTAGCCAGTGTATTTTAGAAACCTTCTGAAATTAACAGAAGACAATGTTGGTTTTAATTAGGATTTGGTACTCATTCTCTTGTTTCCTAAATAAAGTATAGACCCTAAGTGAGATAGTTGCCTAGTTCTCTGTTATAGAAGAAATTTAGGGCAGATTTTCAAAAATCATTAGGTAGGCAGGGTCTCAGGAGTGTCGAGAGAAGAGTCTGTGTGGCCAAGGCATGTAAATCCCCCTGATTTCACCTGGCGATAGGTACCTACCTGCATAGTCACCACTGAGACTCCTTAAACCCTTCTGCACACATTTGATAACAAAATACCTCTGGCCATGGCCCAGCCATTCAGCTGGGTTTACAGTGCAGACAAAAGGGTTATTTCTGTGTTGTGCAGAGATACAAAAGCTGGTGTAGTAGCATAGTAATGTAGCCACAGCACCATGAAGGTCAGCACAAGCCAGCTGACAAATAGTCACCTCATGCTTGCTGAGGGTTTTGTATCCCCGACCGAAGATAACGCTGCTTGCTGTGCCTGCATTGCCAACGATATCTGTGCATCTACGCTGAAGCTAGCTCAGGCATGTCTGCAGGGGCTGTATCCACTGTCAGAATTGCAGAATAATATGGATAGAAAATTCAAAATCAAAGACTTCTGCCCAGAGTGCTGTGTTGTGTTCTTGTATATTCTTACTCTGCGGATACATGGGAATTTATTCCACAGGCACCGTGATGATGTGAATTTAGACAGGGAGAATTTAGTATGTATTTTCACTTAGATTTGGCTTGTATTTATTTCATGTGGGCTTGATAACTTTGTTTCTTTAAGGAAATTAAATTAAAGCCAACGTAATACTTTAAAGGCAAAAATATTGCATGAGTAAGAGTTACAAAGCCGTGTATGTTCTGACAGTAAATGTATGTCATGAGGTAACAATCTCCATTTTTACAGGCTGGTTTCACTTAGCTTTGGCTTGTATTTATTTCACGTGGTCTTGATAACTTTAAGGAAATTAAATTAAAGCCAACATAATTCTTTAAAGGCAAAAATATTGCATGAGTAAGAGTTACAAAGCCGTGTATGTTCTGACAGTAAATGTATGTCATGAGGTAACAATCTCCATTTTTACAGGCTGGTTATTGGAACGAATATGAAAGATTTGTGCCAGCATTAGATCAGCTGCCCTCTAATGACACTTCATCTGTGGAGAACAGAACTATAGTAGTCACTACCATCTTGGTAAGTTGTATGTTCTTAGTGTGTTTGTGTTTAGGAAACAAGACACAAGGCTCCTGAGGTGTGTTAGACACTTTGCCAGGAGGCACATGTTGAATACGATGTGACTTCAAGTGACTGAAAAGTTCCGTATCTTCCAGAGATGCACCGAGGGCTTGACCCTGCAAATTTCAATGTGTATCAACAACTTTACTCCCAGGAAGAGCTCACTGAGCTCAACATTGCGCTTTGCTGCTTCTCAGACACTTGAACTCCATCAAACCCCTCCCATAAGTGACGTTATTCTGTGTGCATGTGAATCACTGCAGGATCTGCCCTTCCTGCTGCGGGGCCAAATCCTGCACCCCTCACTCAGGTGCTGCTCCTGTAAACTCAACCCCTGTGGACTGAGTAAGGGTGAAGCCTGTAGAGAACTGCTCTAGCACAGGGTGAAAAGCAACCTATACCCAGGCGATTGCAAAGGAGTAAAGCTCTTCTGTGTCTCATAAACAGCAGCACCTTTGTCAGCGCCAACGCCTCTAGCAGATGTGCTCTGTACAGTATTGTTTGTGACTTTTATGCCTGTTACGATTCCACTAAGCATGAAGCAATTTTATGCTATTTCCTGAAGCATTGTATTTAATGCTCCTATGGATTTAGGGAGATATCATCAGCATTTCAGATAGAATTTTCCAAGAAGGCTAAGGGAATTCAGTGACAAAAATTGCTGCTGAGGATTTTAGCCTACCTTCCCTTAGGCTGCTTTGAAAATATCTCCATCAGAGCCCCATTCTAGGCCACGAGGGCCTTGGGAAATGATTGTGATGGTACAGGTGTTGTCTGTGTTAATTCTTTAAACACTAAAACCCAAGTTATTACCACAGTGATGCTGTTTGACTGTCTAGTCAGGCCTAATCCTGCAAACAAAAGTAGAACGTTGTTAAAGTGGAATAGTTCTGTTGTCTTCAATGGGTCCATACCAGGATTAAAATCAAGAGTATGTGTGGCTGTAGGATCAGCCAAGGATTTTTAAACTGCAAAAGTTTGTCTTTCTAATTTCTGTACCAAAGCAGGAAATATTGTAAAAACTTGCCAGTAATATAAACGATAATAACAGCTCTCGTTTTGTATGTTTTAAAGCTGTATTTTACTTTCATAGACTTTTGATCTTTACTTTTGTTTCAAAGGAATCACCGTATGTAATGTATAAGAAAAACCATGAACAACTAGAAGGGAATGAGAGATATGAAGGATATTGTGTAGACTTAGCTTCTGAAATAGCAAAACATGTTGGAATAAAATACAAACTGTCAATTGTTGGAGATGGGAAATATGGAGCTAGGGACCCAGAGACTAAGATATGGAATGGCATGGTGGGTGAACTGGTCTATGGGGTAAGTTTCTCTTAACCTTCATTTAAATGTTCTTTATAAAAAGTTATGCTCGAAGTTAATAATTGCAAAATAAAGATTGTCTGTTTGAATACCAACTTTAAAATTCCAGATATTTCTTTGTAGGGCCATTTTTATAGTCTACTTTTCTAATTGTTTCGTTACAGGAAAGTGTCACTTTTTTTACTGCTGTTCTCCAAATCAGACTCCACAAAATGTTGAGAAGTGGCATTGAGCAAATTTCAAATTCTTGTCTACAGCAGAATTTCCAGTTTGCCTTTCATGTGCTGCTTTTGCATTTGCCATGTCTCCTTTTTCTGTATCAGTCTTGTAAGTGCTGGGAGGGTACCCCTCCCGTAAAAGGTCTGATCCTATGATGCTGGCCGTTGTTGGATCACTGATGTCAGTTTGTGTTTGATCAGAGACTAAAGACTCAGTTAGCTCCATGGTTGCTTTTCAGGGTAAGAAGCAATGCAGGTGTGATATCACCCACATCTTTTTTCTTTTTAAACCCTGGATTTGGCTTTAAAAATTAACTGTCAGACAAAAAAAAAAGGCTAATTTATTGCATTCCTCTTTATATTTCTATATTGGGTGTACACTGCTTTGTTTAGTAAGAACAAAACCAGTCGGGAATTGCCATTTTGGAAACTTCTTTGAAAATTAGAATTTTGGAATACAGATAAACCAGATGGAAGGGGGAAAAAACTGGCTTTGCGGAAAAGACTTTACAAGCTGATATTTCATCTTTGCTTTTTTTTTTCCCCCAAATGCTAATGAGATGATTTGTGATTCCGCCCAAATCTTTACAGTTTATTTTTAACAAGCTTTCCTTTATTAAAAATATCTGAGCTGAAGTGAATATTTCCATTGCTTCCTTTTGTTCCTTGGCTGACTGTAATTTCTAAAAGTCACCTCAAAATTTCCTTGGGATAACATATCATCATTCTTGCAAAATGTTTGGTGAGATAATTCTTTTCAAATGAATCAGCCTTTTTTAAGTAATTGCTAGATTTGCATAAGTTTTCTTACTCTGGAGTAGTCAGTCCCGGTGCCTAGTTATATACTTGGTAGCCTATTCGACTTCAAAATATTTGATATAAGCAACAGTGTTTTTGTAGTATTGTGTTAAGGGGAGGGATGGAAATCTGCTGATTAGAGAACGTAAGCAGGGTCTGGACTCCTGGGTTCTATCTTCGCTTCCCTGTTGCACTGAGGTTTGATATTATGCAAATCTTCTGAACTTCCCATGCCTCAGTTATGCGATTTGGGAAACCGCTGTTACCTCTCTTAGAGAGTACAAGAACATTCAGAACCTCTAAAGCAAAGGTTTACTTCACTTCCAAGCGTAATAACATTGCAGTGGAAACCTAAATCCTCAGTTTCCCTGCATGTGGTTCAAGAAGCATCAAGAGTATTAGCTGTAATTGGGTCCTTTTGATATATTTGCAAGTAACAAGCAATGGAACAGTTTATTCACTTAAAAAAAAATAATCATACTATATGCAAAAGGCATGACGAAAGATGACCTGAAATTACCGCTGACAGCCAGGGCACAGGGACCATCTACGCCAGAGGAGGAAAGGTGTGGTATGGGCTGCTGCCTCTGGGACTTGGGCCAAGGAACATCAGCCTGTGCAGCTGCTGGATGATGCAAGATCCATCTGGATAAAGGGCCACAGAAATGATCAGAGGGATGGAACACCTCTCATATGAGGAAAGGTTGAGAGATTTGGGGTTGTTCAGCCTGGGGAAGAGAAGGCTCCGGCGAGACCTTTTTGCTTCCTTCAACGGCTTACAAGAAAGATGGGGACAGACCTTCTAGTAGGGCCTGTTGCGATAGGACGAAGGGTAATGGTTTTAAACTAAAAGAGGGTAGATTCAGACTAGGTCTAAGGAAGAAAATTTTTTGCGATGAGGGTAGTGAACCACTGGAACAGGTTGCCCAGAGAGGTGGTAGATGCCCCATCCCTGGAAACATTCAAGGTCAGGTTGGACGGGGCTCTGAGCAACCTGATCTGGCTGAAGATGTCCCTGCTCATTGCAGGGGGGTTGGACTAGGTGACCTTTAAAGGTCTTTTCCTACCCAAACCGTTCTGTGATAAACAGGTTGGCTGCAGCTGCCTTTTCCACAACCCCATGGGATGAGCTGAGCACAGAGAGCTCTGCCTCCTTAGCATCAGGCTGAGCCCTGGCCACTTTCCCTTGACCCAACTGTACTTGTGACCATTCCACACCAGCAAAAAAAATCCTTGCACACACCACCATACATTAAAACAACCCCAAACCTACCCCACTATTGTCATTTTCCCCTGAAAAAAAGGTCTGTTCCTTTATATTCTGAAGCACAGTTTTCATCTGTGTTTTCTCACTAATGAAAAATTGAGGGATGTTTCCCTCCCTGACCCCCAACAGCTCCTTTTCTCGTGCTGCAAGCTGAGTTACTGAAGCCTCTTCGCTGCAGTGCTCAATTATTCAAAGGTCAGCTGCATCCCTTGAGGTCTGACTGTAGACCCAGGTTAACGCCTGCAGCCCCGCGCTGCTGAGCCAGCTCCCCGTCCTGCCCAGCTGAACTCCGGAGCTGGCAGGCTGCACAGAAATCCACCTGGCTTTCTGTAAGCTGGGAAAACAGCCCCTGAACTCTGAGTACAAACCTCCCCAGCCCTCCAGACCCTTTCCCAGCCCTGCTTGCAAACATCATGAAATACCCTTGGCCTCTTTCTCCATCCGAGAGGGGGCTGTGTACCATGCTCACGAGGATGTGCACAAAGCCCTTTGAAGATGAAGAGTGCTCTGGAAGTGCTAATTATTTGGAGCAAGTGCCTCATTTACGTGCTGACTTTCCTTTATCTCTCAGGGGCTTAAAACTCTATTAGGGAACTAAAACTGTACGTTACCCCTAATGCCCCTGTGAGCCTTGTCTGCAAGATGCTGTCATATTTGGCTCCTCTGGATTCCATTTTGGGAAGACAAGAGGGAGATTAGATTTTAAATGCCTTTATTAGCATGTATAGAAGTCGGGCATGGGGGGATAAAAGGGGCCTGATTGGTTTTGGTACCGGTTATCCGGCAGCTGAACCAAGCTGTGGCAGCAAACACAATTTTTTTAGATTGCATTTGTCTCAAGTGATAAACAGTGACTAGTCATTTGTCAAATTCAGCATATTCCTGACCCAGCGAGCTTCTCACTGCTTCCGCTGGGAAGTCTTACCAGGCTTTTCAAGCGCTGTGCCCTTTTTAGCGTAGCCCCCATGCCTACATCTCTTGATAAAATTGCTCTTAAGACAGTCATAGAAAGTGAATGGCATGTCATTTTAATGCCAAAACCCTAATTAACTGTAATTAATGTTTAGTTTGTGCCAGTTCGTTGTTACTGTTGCTCTTGCTTCCTGTGGGATGCGGTGTAGAGTCAGGAAAGAAAGCGCAGCCGGATCCTCGCAGCCTGCGTGGGAAGGCTCTGAGTGGAATGGCGAGGAGTGGGGAGGGATGGGATGGGGCTCAGTGTGCACCGGCTGTACCCAAAGCAGCAGGGTACTGTGTCACAGCGCTGGGGTCCTGAGGCTGACCGGCACAGCCCTGACTCCAGAGTAAGACTTGACGGAGGTCTGCCATGGGCTGTACGAATGAACTGGTTCCAGAGAAGGGCTTGCTCTCTGGCAGCGTAGGGATGGCAGCCCTGGAGGCAGGGCTTTCTGGCAGGGCAGATATTCCCCAACTCCTTTGCTTCAGACAGGAGAACCCTGAAGTCTTGTTAGAGAGAAGCTAAAAGGGCCTTGTGGTTTGTTAGCAATTTTCAAATATTGGTGGTAGTAGTAGTCGTAGTAATGTTAGTAATAATAATTAATAATGAGAATGAAATTTGACATAAAAATGAAATTGATTTGATTTTTCATAAATCAAAAAAAAGGTCAGTTTGAAGAAAACCTTAATTTTGATCTTTCACTCTCACGGAGTCAAAATAAGACTCTACTTCCTACCTGAAAAAAAAAAACCAAACCCTACCAATTCAAGCACTATTATTTTTTAAACTAAGAGAAATTTCTAAAACATAGTGGAAACTTTTGACAGAATAAAAGTAGCAAATAGGTAAAGCTCTTTTCCTGGACATTTTAGAAGAGGGAAGTAGCTAAATCATTCTCAGTCTGGCAGACCAAATCACTGTTTAAATCTAACCAGCAAAGCAAACCAGCAAGGCAAACGCTGTCCTCCAGTGATCCACCCGCTAACGATGCCGAGCCCTCCACGCGGGCTGATGAGCAGCCTCACCTCCCGCTGCGCACACCCTGGGGGGCCGGGGCTCGGGGCTTTGTACCCCCCAGCTGCCCAGCACTAGACAATGGTCTTTTCTCTTCTGCAGGGTAAGCCTCTTTCTGTAGGCTTTTATTTCTCCTTTCCCTTTTAAAGCAGGCTGCTGTTCAGCCAGGGAAAGTCTTCCCTCCCTGGGCCAGGCGCTTTTCACATCACTGAGACTAATTGACAGTGGGTTTAACACAGATCTTAATTGTAACTACAGATGCTTTGGGAGTGGAAAGAGCAGCCAGACCTTCCAGCCTTTAAAGCTCTCCTCAGGTAAAAAAAAAAAAAAAAAAGTCTTTATAAAAATTTTTCAATATGTAAAATAGCACAAAGGAACAGAGCAGGGATGTGGAGGACAGACAGTCCCCTGCACACCGGCAGCCTCCGCAGTCTGTCCGAGTGGGACCCCCTACACACATCCCTGCCTTTAACAGGCAACCAGCCTCTCTGGCTCTCCCAGCCACAGAAGACAGACTACAGATGGCATATACAGCCTTTGAATCGTAGCGGAGAGGAAGATTAATTCAGTTCCTGTTTCTCCCCAAAACGTCCCACATGCTCTTAGATTGTGCCGTGAGTGGGAGAAGCTCGCCCGACACCCCTGGCCCCTGGTTTCTGGAGGAGGGAAGCCCAGGTGCCAGTGCCCAAAGGCGGCCGTGCGATGCTGCTGCCCCGCGGCTCAGACGGACCCTCACCCCGTGCGCGCAGGGACAGATGTGGGGTCCCTGCCCAGGCAGTGGCTGAGCCACGGTGGCACCGTGCGGTGGGACAGGACCACGGCTCCGGCACAGAGCTGAATGGTGTCCAAGCACAGGAAGAAGCAGCGCACGTATGTCTGCAGCTCAAAAAGCAGATGTACCCTTAATTTTTCCATCTGCATCCAGTAGCAGCGTCTCAGAAGGAGCTGTGGGCATCCACATAAGGCATGCATAGAGATAACGTTGACAAACTGCGGCAGACAAGGCCAACTGCAGTTTTAACACCTTAATACCTTTTATAACACTCAGCTGGTACGCATTAAGGCTTCAATGCAGCATGTTGCTAGTCAGATATCGGCTGTTGGTTTTGAATAAGTGTGAGCTAATGTGTTAAAAACACATTGCCCCATGACCTGGCCTCTCAGCCCACCCCGATATCCTTGGGTGTACTGGACTCTCTTTATGTGGTACTGTAGGTGGTGTGTTGCTCTGTCTGACACCCTTTTCTCATACCTGGAAACATCAGACTGCACTGAAAAGTCCTAAAATGTGCTCAGAGTCAGTCGTCCTTCCAGCACAGTCTCTTCTGACGCCGCTGTGTGCCTGCGTTCGGCACTTCTGGGGTGCCGAGAGGTTTGGCTCCTGATGGAATGGGGCAGCGTCCTCTGCATCAGTCTGCACATAGCTGAGCACCTGTCACACAAAGGTCTCGCAAAGTGACTGTAGCCTAGACCCACTTCTTGAAAAGTGACCCATTGGCAAAAGAACTGGAAGCGTGAATGGCCAGAAGCACGTATGGGCAGGAGCAGAGCTGGGGTCTCTTGCCTTCTCTAGTGCATGGCTTTGAAGTTCGGAAGACTCATCTTTACATCTGTAAGCAGAATTCAATCTCTTCTTTTGGATTACAGAGGAGGAACATCTTATCGTTTTTCTTTCTCCATGTAGAGGGATATTTCCATTTGCTATTTTCCCTCCCTCCCCTTAAGAGTCTTGAGGTTTGCAGCCCCCTGGGGTCAGTTTGAACAGAGTGGGGACCGCCTCCGTGCTGCCTGTCCTCCCTAAATCCATCCTTCCCACGCGAGTAGGCGCAGACAGAACAAGCCTCAGAGGAATCCATGACATTTCTCGCCTGGCTCAAATGCGGTGAGGATGATGTTTGAAACGCCATTAGTCATGAGTGATTAGCAAGCCTTAGTTGTTGAGGTTCCTCAACGCCCCCCTCCAGTTCTGCTCAGGGAAGGGCATGGTTGCGGTTATGGTTGTGTTCTTTGTAACTGAGCTCCATTTTTATGGGTTCTGCTTATCTGCAGCCATAATAGGGAGGGAAATTCACAACTGTGATGATCCTTTAGGGTACTTAGAGCTCTCCATAAGCTCTCAATTTCAAATAGTATATCTCTAAATAAATAAGCCAAGAGCAATCTGGTTTTTTTAACCTCTCTAGTGCAAATAATATTCAGCGAGGTGGTGGAGAACCAGGCTCGGGTGCTGGATTGTAGCTAATCCACTCTCAGTGCCCTGGTTGTTGGCGGTTTCCCAAGAGCTTGTGTCTGAACCCATGCTTGTTCCCTCTGCAGAAAACAATTGCTGCCATGTTCATTTAAGGTATGAGGGTGTTTGTTGGTGTTTCCAACGTGTTGAACACCTATCAAAAATGGTAGGGAAGCAGAAACACAAAAATGGATCAGAAAAATAAATGTTTATCCCTTCTAATATTAAAATGCAATTTTAAATTATTTACAAAGAAATCCGTACTGTATGATATGGTTGAGGACATGATAAAAATCAAGCCTTTAAAAATGGATTTGCCAGGGCTTCAGCACAGCATCATCTTCATCCCCTTAAAGGCCCCACAGGAACATCCTGCATGAACTCAGGAGCTCACAAAGGAGATCCAGACTTTATAGCACGCTGCATCAGCACTTAGGAAGAGCTCCACTGTGGCTACTTTGGCAATTAAAATATTACTTTGGGAGAACTAAATTTCTCCAAGTCCAGGAAAACTCTACAGAAACTAAATGCTCTTCTAGCTGAAGCAGCCTGTTCCTTCCTTGAGGAGCTGTTCCAAGGCTGTCTGTCCATGTACAAAGTGCCAGGCAGTGAGGCACCTGCCTCCCACCTCAGCTTCACGTCACGTGGAATCATTCCTAAGTCTCTGCAGGAGTCCTGATCTGTTAAGCTTGCTCTAATAAGGATTAATTTGTAAGTACCTCGTTAGCTCACCACACAGTTCAGTGGCCATGGTCAAAGTGCTTAGTCTTCCAGCCAGCTGTGGACTCTTAAAGCAGATATTGTGTACATGTCCCCTACTTACTGACTGCAGATATCTAATATTTAACAGTAGCTCAACAAGCATCAGCTACAAGACAAATATCTGTTTTGGGGGAATTCATCAGTGAACAAGTTCCAGCATCATCCAGTCCCTTTACCACACTCACTTTGTGTCTCCCAAGTCTCTCTTACTTAGGTGATGAATACATTCATCTGCAAAGCCCATAAACGTGTCTCCCCAAGTCTCTGTATTATTTAGGTGGTGAATACATTCATCTGCAAAGCCCATAAACGTCCAAAGGCAGATGGCAATCAGGTGAGGGTTTTCTCCTGGAGGAAAGCAGTCGCTCAGGGGGAAGGGCAATGTCCTGGGACATGTGAACATCCAAAGGGGCAGAGGAGGACACCTGGGAACATGACTCCAAGGGGCTTCCCTACACAAGTCTCTGTATTATTTAGGTGGTGAATACATTCATCTGCAAAGCCCATAAACGTCCAAAGGCAGATGGCAATCAGGTGAGGGTTTTCTCCTGGAGGAAAGCAGTCGCTCAGGGGGAAGGGCAATGTCCTGGGACATGTGAACATCCAAAGGGGCAGAGGAGGACACCTGGGAACATGACTCCAAGGGGCTTCCCTACATCTGCAGGCATCTGGTTATTGCAGGCAGGGAACTTGTGCACAGACCTTGGAGTTGCATGTGCCAGGACAAAATGTTGAGAGATATTCCGGAGTTGCTGGAGCAAAGCTAGAGGTGGTGCGTGCAGCTGGGTGTGTCACAGAGGGAGGCTGGATGGGGAGGGGCCGCAGGGGGCCAGTCCTCAGTCCCACCAGCCTGCCATTAGCCTCAGCCTTAAAACGCCGAGGAGGTGCCTTGGGCATGGTTGCACGGTGCCTGATACTGAGATTAACCTCATGAGAAGCCGTTTCTGCTTATGAATCTTAAAAAAAAAAAGTCCAAAGCAACTATCTAGGAGGAGGAACAAATGAGATATTAATGAAAGTCACGTACATCACCATCAGATTTACATCAAGGCATGTTCAATTATTTTATGTCACAGATTCTTACCATTTCCTATTAACTTTTATTCAAGCTTATACTTAATCAGGTTTTATTTTTCCACAAGAAAGAGATACATACTTACTAGTGGGAAACAAAAATCTGATTTAAAAGTGCACAGTGGTTTAGATGCTGGTAAGTTAAACTTTCCCTAAGAATTGTTTATTTCTTTCTGAAATCCTTAATTAGCAACAAAAGGCCATCTTTAAAAGTATCAATGACATGAATAGTTAGAGTGTTTAAAATAGAAGATTACAAGAAAGTATATGTAGGTATGTAAACTCTCATAACAATAATTTTTAAATTAAAACCTTAAATTAAAAGGGTTGGTTTTTTTAACAGTCTAGTCCCCTCTGTTGCAAATGCTGACAACTCCTTGAGTACTTGGCTGGATCAAGGCTAGGTTATCTAAACAGTATGACTTGAATCTTTCTGGCATAGAAATACAGATACAATTAAATATGTTGAAAATCTATTATGGAATGCTATTTTTAATCAGGTAACTAAGTTTTTTGTACTTCACATTCTTACCCTCCCATGGAATCTAGCAAAGACGTATTGATTGAAGGGAAGGGTGTGGGTTCAGGGCACACCAACACGCTGGTGAATGACAGATGCAATGAGATGGGATTGTGCTTCCAGATGACCCAGCCTCAGAGCACAGCCGGTGTTATAGATCTATAGAGCTGGTAGCATACATTATACTGAAAAATACTACTTTGCATTCTTCTCAGGTAACCCAGGCTATTTGCTTCTCAGGGACTCACAAATCTGTATTAGTGTTCTTCAGTGACCACGAAAAGGGTGGGCTGTCCGCTTCCTGTCACCCCACTATTCTACCATCTTCTATCCCTTATTGCAATGGGGTTTCAAAGGAGTATATGAGTGGTAGTGCCCAAATGCAGCTGAAATTCAGTGACTGATTAATTCTCTTAGGTTCCTTTTAAAGATCCTGGACTAATCAGTAAGGCAAAAGAACATGCTGAAAGAATGGAAAAGAGAAAATTAAAATAAAACAAACTTATAACTTGCCCAAAGTCTTCTAGACAGATGGATGGATACAGACATTACTAGAAAATGACATTGGTTTAGTTGCTATCTCCCTGTCCAGTTCGCGCAGTGATTATTCATCCATTTTAACTTAATAGTTTAACATAAATACATGTTGGTACATATCTGCCTCTGTCGTAAGACCCTTGCACAGATTTGATTGTAATTTTTCTTGTTAATAATTGTGTATCAATATTGCTTAGTCCTTCAGTGACTGCAAAATAGGCTGCAAAGAAAATGTTTCGTACTCACTCTTGTAATTTATCATCTGATTCATTAGCCTGAGACTCTAGATTGTGATTAGGTTGCAACTGTTTTGTGACTAACTTGGGTTTGTTTTCCCTTTTCAGAGAGCAGATATAGCTGTTGCCCCTCTCACCATAACATTGGTGCGAGAAGAAGTCATAGACTTTTCCAAACCCTTTATGAGCCTGGGCATCTCCATCATGATCAAGAAACCTCAGAAATCTAAACCGGGTGTATTCTCTTTCCTGGATCCTTTGGCTTATGAAATTTGGATGTGTATAGTCTTTGCTTACATTGGCGTCAGCGTGGTTCTTTTCCTAGTCAGCAGATTCAGTCCTTATGAATGGCACTTGGAAGACGGCAGTGAAGAACCACGTGACCCTCAGAATCCTCCTGACCCTCCAAATGAGTTTGGAATATTTAACAGCCTTTGGTTTTCCCTGGGTGCCTTTATGCAGCAAGGATGCGATATTTCTCCAAGGTTTGTTCCATATCACTCCATCACCTTTTTGCATTTTATGGTCATTTGCTGATGCCATGGTGCATATATGTTACTTTTTTTTTCAAATTTCTTTTTAATTCCAAATTTTTTGACATTCCATTCAGTGCTGAGCATCATCATCAAGCCACCATGCTTGCTAACATTCACCTCCAGAGTGAGTGGCATTGCCTTAGAATGCCGTTTATGCATTTCTGCCTAACTTATATACACCATGTTGAGGCTGTAAAATGCATAGGGTTTTCTGTTTTCAGCAATGCTTGGAGGGCTACCGTGTTTTTGCTGCATATCTCATTTTACGGTCATCTCCTTGGTGCATAAAATATATTCTGCTTTGCAAAATAAGAAATATTTATTTTAAAAAATCACATGCAACAGCATTTTAAAACACCTCCACTCCCGTCGTGGCTTCTGCTAGTCTTTTTACTTTCTTTTGTGCCTGGTTTCTCTAGTTTTGTTCTTCTTGATCCTTCCTTTCATCTATTACTAATCTGCTTACCGCCGTCTTTCATGTGTTCGGTTCTCTGTATGTGCCCCTCTAACAGTTATTGCGTTCTGCCCTGTATGTGTATCGTTATTTCAGTCCAGTCTGACCCATCGTCCTTGTGTTTGTAGTCAATATGGTCTGATGAGCATTGCCAGTTTCCATAAAGGTTTTTCTTGTTCATTAAGGCAGTCTTTCTGAATAAGGCTGTAGTAAAACACGTTTGATATTAGTTACAATTTAACAGAGAGCACTGGTATTAACTATTGCGGAATTCAATTTCTTTTTTAAAGAAGCACTTTGAAAATCACCTGAGAATAGTGAAGTTCTCTTTAATTGAACAATGCATACCACAGATGTTTTTTAAATAATATATGTGATGTTTCTACATTTACACTGGTAAGATACTTGGGTGATGTGCCTGTGATAAGCAGTGAAATGATCTAGTTTCTTAGTGATGGAGCACTAGTTATATTTTGTATGACGATATTTTAATAACCAGTTTACAGCTATTTTAATTATTAAAACTTAGTACAAACAGGATGCAATTTTTCCCTTTAACAAGGTTGCTAGTTAAAGCAAAAGACGCAGATTTTTTTCTAACTTAGCACTTGAAATACACCTCTCCGCTCTCCATATTTGTCTGCCCTTTTCAATACCTGAATCTTTAAAAACTACCAGGTTTTACTGGTCACAGAATCACAGAATCACAGAATGTTAGAGATTGGAAGGGACCTCGAAAGATCATCTAGTCCAATCCCCCTGCCGGAGCAGGACACCTAGATCAGATCACACAAGAACCATGTAGTGGTAGGGATCTTGGGTAACCTCACTGAAGCAAGTGACAAAACTTCCATGAAGTTTGATGGAAAGGATCATGATGTTAACTGTTATAATGTAATAATGATCCTTTAAGTGCACAGTCATTGCACATTCAAATCTCCGGACGATCACGGCGAAATCCAGGACTTTCAGAGGTACTGGTGCACGCCAGTTGGTATTTGACGCTACTCGTACATCTGTTTTTAAAGTCTCGATAGCAGCAATTAGATTTCATACTTATCGACAGATGCATGTATATCCCACGTAAAACACACACACGTTTTTGCCTGGATATGACCACGCGTTAGTTTTTGCAGTCATGGGGGCTGGGTGTGCTGGCTCCCTGTACAGTGATAGCTGGTAGCTCTCTCCTCCTGTTTGCACACTGTGTTTCTGCTTTCTGCCGAAATTCTGTATTGCAACTTTACCTCTCTGCTCGCTGTCAAAGGTGATGAGTAGTGATAACATTTAAATTGCTGTTGACCATGTGTGTGCCCAATATAAAGGACCGGGAAATAAGCACTGGGACATCACATGGAAAGCTGCAGGCATTGCACTGTTTCCGCTAGGTCTGGTTATTGACAGTTAAAGAGAACTGCATAGGATTTTTGTCAAACTCTCATGTGACTCTAACATGTTCAGCCATTTACCTTATATAACGAGTGGAATGTATTCTAGGGGGTTGTTTTATACTACTGTGCCTTGGAAATGCATAGCAAAAAACAGAGACAACAGTAAACCTATTTATTCTATCTGTCCATCAGAAGCTATTAGCTCAGTATTAATACATGGCCCTCGTTTGAAGACGTTATCCAGTTATTTTGTTATCTTCCAAGATAACAGATTCCAGGCAGTTACATGCATTGTTACTGAAAAAAAGAGAAATTTAATACCTTGGTTTAAATTCCGGTAACACTGTTCCTTTGACCAATATGTTGATTTAAGTTGATTAAATGTCAGATTTCTTTTCCTTAGAAGGGACTATTCCCAAGTATTCCGTTCTGAATCCGTATCTTTGTAAGGTTACTCTATTCACAGTACATTGACTATATGAATGTTTCATCCTATTTTATTGCCATTAAAAGGGGCTTCATTCTTCCATTGTGAGTTTTGTCTGAATAAATTTCTTATATGAGAGCATACAGCACTTGTAGAGAGATGCCGACAAGCAGTCTGGAGAGATCACTTTTGTACTTGCTGATAAAGGCTCTTTCAGCTGCCTTTGTGTGGAACAGCTGTGACATCTAATGACTAGTTAGATCTATCCTCGGTGAGTATGCTGTGGGGATATTCCAGAGGATATATCCCTATACTCTCCTCTCTGTATTTAATAGGAGTCGTCTAAACAGAATCAGATAGGAGCTGAAGGATGGGGGTTAGTGCATCCCTCGACGGAATCGACATTTGTTCCAGCAGTTTTGTTCTGCTATCAAAGGCTGCTGTGTTTTCTGCATAGTGAGCTAAGGCATTGAAAATTCACTTTTGATGGATCAAAAGTAGATTATTAAACTCACTTTAATGTAAGATGCATACAGCAAATGGAATCAGGAGAAAACACAGTCAAATTTGTAACATTGTTCTGAGCGAAAGCATCTTTGAAATCTCTCTGAGAGCCCACATTTTAATTGTGCTCTTTATTCATGTGGAACAAAGAGGCTAGATTAATTAATTGCTGATGGAAAAAGACAAGGGGTTCATTAAAAATTACCTCATGAGGTTGGTCATTTCAGAGGGTGTATTTCTAGATCCCAGTTTTCACAGCAGAAGACTCGAGAGACTCCTATTAAAGGCCATGGGAATGACTTTGTGGGACTTTCAGTCTAGCAATGAGAGCCGCGTAACCAGGTAGTTCTGAAACTCCCACTGCCAGTTCCTATGATGGAAGCATCTCAAGTCAGCGCTTCAGATGCTCTTATTTCTTGTGTTCTGTCGCAGTCAGTGAGGCGAGGGCGGCGTGAGGCCGGCCGGAGAGGCGGAGGGATGCTGGGCGCGCGAGCCAGGGATGGAGTTCGCAGCGTAGTGGGTACCAGATAACCTCTGCTTGGAATATGAAGGGGTTCTGGACAAGGAGAGTTTGCAGCGGAGTTGTTCAGGGTTATTTGCCAATGTAACAGCCATCTTGCATCAGTCAGGAGAGCCTCATTAAAAATTGAGTAGTGTGAGAAGCTTATTATTTTTGTGTAGTATAGGAAATCAAGTATTTTTTATGGCCATGAGTAGAAACAAAATTCAAGCTATTTTGATAAATAAATAAGGTTTTGTCTGAATGTATTATTGTCCTGGAAACTGAATGTGAATTTGAATATTTATTTTGTTTTTCTTGTGTTACTAATTTGCTCTCATTTGACTCCATGCTTCCTTTTAAATTTCCTCTCAAGGTATGCACTCTTCCTGTTTACTTGCTTTTAAAAATACCATCTGACCTTGTTTTGATAATTGCGTTATAATTCTGTTGTTATTCCAGGTCTTTGTTACTTCTCTCATTTGTTAACATGCTAATTCACTATAAAATAATGTTGTGCAAACTATCTATTTATTGAGGTAATTTGGAAAACGACATGTTGGGATAAAGCATTAGCTGTTTGTTTTTAAATTACAACACTGCGCGCTTGGACAGGTATGTCTTAATCAGAAAAAGCAGTGCTGGTATTAAAAGCTGTGATTGATTTTTCTATAATTATTGTCTGAGTAATGGACGAACATTTCTGTGGTTCACAGTACAAACCGTACAAGTATTCTCTTATTACCAGCCCGGTGTTTCTGTACTAACCCTTTCTCTCCCGCATCCCTCTACACCAGCCCCTGCAGTGGGTATAAGGAGTCTAAATATCAGCAGATGGACGGGGGGGAAATGGGGTCCTTTGGCCAAGGAGGCTGCCAGGCCATGCTCGTCCATGTTCTTGGACTCTGTCTGTCTTTCTTTCCTTCAGTGTCAGCTTTGTGGTTTGTTTTGTTTTTCTTTTGCCCCATCCTGTGCTACCACCACGTACAGCTCTGCCAGCCCAGACTGCTTCCTAGTGCTCACTGGAATACTCTGGGAGAAACAACTCTGTTGTGACATCCAGTTTTCTTTCAAGTGACCTCAGCTCTTCTGAAAACACCTAGCAAGAACCCTCACTTGCATGTAGGACCCTCAGGGCAGTGCCACCTTCCTCAGGAGACCCCGCCGTGCCCACCTCCCCTTCCTCTCAGCTCTTCTCCAGTTTTTGTCCTGTATTTGTCTGACTCAGTGCATCCAGGTTGCAGGACATTTTTGCCTTTCTCTGTGTGCAATACGCTCTATAAGTGTGCAGCTCCACACAGACTTTTTATTGTTACAGCACTGTGAGCTTGAGGTTTCGCTGGTTTGGGGGATGCTTGTCTTCTGCACATCTTCATCCCAGCAGCCCATCGGTCCTGCTAACCGCAGGGAAAGCTGCCAACCCAAGGAAGACATTTCCTATGGGAAACTGTAGGGGCAATGAACACATACAATTTTGTTCCACATAATTCCACTGAATTTATCTAAACACTCTGGCAAAGTCTTTATTTCATCTTCCTATTTCAAGACCGACTGTAAAGCAAGAGGGCCACGGGAACCCAGAAACCCCAGATCACACTCATCTTGCTGTTTGCAAGTGGATGTTTCTCTGCTGTGCCGGCCAGCCAGACTTCTCCACCTTGCTGCAGGGAGGAGGAACTCACCTCTGGGCCCTCTCTGAAGACGGAAAGTATGTTGTGAAGGAGCAAACAAAAGGGAGATGAATTTGCCTGACGTCACTATCTAAAGGCGGTGTTTTAGTTGGGTGTCTCGGTTCCCTCCAGTTGTAAGACAGATGGGCACCTTCAGACTTACCCACATTACAGCAAGTGAGATAAATCTCCTTCTGAGGGTGTCTGTCTCCTCTCTTTTCCTCTGCTGGCTGTGAAGGGAGCCTTACACAGTGAGTTAATCAGGCACTGCTTTGTACTTGGCTAAAATTTCATCAGCCCATGTAAGAGGGTAATTTGCTGTGTAGGGTATCAAGTTTTGCAGAGGAGCTAAAGCCAAGACCCTGACTGGTAAGGGAGCTGACCAGAAAGGACTTTAGCCATCTGCACAATCCCAAGATACTCACTTGATACCTACAAAGAATGTAGATTGAGGTAGAGAGATTCCTTGACTTACTACACTGTTCTGGATTTATATTTCTGCAACTTACCTTTGCAGCTGCTCAGTAGCCTTCTATCAGGGAGCACAGCTGCAGCACAGCCCAGGTTGGAACTCAGAAGCCTTTTATCCTCGTGGGAGGCCCTCAAGAAAGGCAGGAAAGCCTCCTCTGATTGTTGGTGATCCGGTGGATGTGTGCCTGCCCTGAGAAAGCGCAGGCAGGCCAGAGCAGTGACGATGTCTCTGAGTTCACGCGTGGAAAGTCATTGCTTCCTGATGGACAAAGAGCTGACGCTTCACTCCTCAAGCTTCCCTAAGCTTTGTAACCACCTGAACCGCCTTGCACTGTGGTACGGACCTGATGCAGCAGTCCCCGGGGTGCTGACTGCGCCAGCAAGCGGTGTGTGCTGTATGATCCATAGGAACCCGCCTGCATCTGCCCTCTCCGGGGGAGCCGCTGCTGCAGTTTCTTGGGCAGAGGAGAGTGGGGAACAGCAGCACTCCATCTCTTAGTTTGTTTCTCCACATTCCTCTGACCTGTTCCAGATTGCTCTCTGTTTTTATTGTGTTGGCAATTCTTTTTCTTTGGTGTGTTCTTTAATGTTGGGTGGATTTTTTTTTCCTTTTTTTTTTTCCTAATTTAACATGATTTTTTTAGTGGCTTGGGCAGTCTCAGGCTCTGGCCAGGACTAGGCAGTTTACCAGCTAAGTCACCTGTGTGGGTGGGGGCACATCACCAGACTTTTGCTTTTTTCCTGTCTCCATCTGTTGGTAGGACAACTTGTACCCACTGTCTGGGGATGGCACTGAGGGGCTTGAAGGAAACAAATAACCAGGTAAGAGTTTTGTGGCTTTCTGCTTCTTCCCTTCACATGAACTGAGGACCACAGCACCCAGGTTCCACAGATTTAATATATCTTCCTCCACTGGTATCAGCAGAGTTAAGGGAAAACATATGAAATAGCTTTGTGTCAGCTCCTGAAATGGTTCCTGGCCAACACACCATGTTTGAAGAATGAGTGCCATACATGGCACTGAAATTCCCCACCCAGCTGAGCGGCGTGGCACTGGCATCCTTCAGCCTCGAATGAATATTTTGAGCCTGATGTTCAATTGCTTTAAAGCATCAAGAGCTCTCTCTGACAGGGTCTAGACCTCCTGACCACTAGGCATTTTGTAATTATATGTTTACAAATAGGCTTTTTTTTTCAGTCCTTTATGGTATCCTTTTGAAAAACAGAAAACACAACAAAAACGGAACACAATTTTTTCTCTGCTTCCTTCTCTCTTGCCCTGATGGTTATAAAGCATGAATGCCCTTGAGTTGGAGCAGTGCAACATGCAAATTTTAATTAACATAAAACATAAACCAGCATCTCTCCTCACTTCAGTATGCAGACTCAGTCTGTAATTCCTGCCAGGTTGTGATGAGAGAAGGACACTGAATCATTTTTGGTTTATTCCTTTGCACATTTACTCAGATTCCCTTTTGCAGTTTACTACATCTTACATTTTGAGAGTCAATGCAGAAAAAGGCACATTGGTGTCCTCCAAGCTGGGCAGCTACCAAAGAGACCCCATGCTGGCGTATTGCAGAGGAGGAGACAAAAGTCTTCTGGCAAAAGACTTCTCCAGCAAAGGGTCTGTGGAAGTCAGGAGAGCTTATTCCTCTCCAAGCCTCCAGTGGGGTTGGCTGAGATGAATCATTTCTCAATTGGCTCTCCTTGTTTTCACTGAAAGACTGGAGAGAGAGTTTAACTAGGTAAGACCAGGCGCAGGCTGAGTTTGCTCTCCTGAGGAAGGCTGTCAGGAGCTGGCTCACAGGTGCCTGGAGGATCTGGACAAAAGGGTTGTGCATGTGAATTTTTCTTCAATGAAGGAAAGAAAAAAAAAATCCAGAAATGTCTTCAAAGCAATTTGATGATGTGTGTTTTTCCACAGATCTCTCTCAGGGCGAATTGTTGGAGGAGTCTGGTGGTTCTTCACTCTCATCATTATCTCTTCCTACACTGCTAATCTTGCTGCCTTCCTTACGGTGGAGAGGATGGTTTCTCCCATAGAGAGTGCAGAGGACCTGGCGAAACAAACCGAAATAGCCTATGGCACTTTGGATTCAGGCTCAACCAAAGAATTCTTTAGAGTAAGTCTGTTAAATCTCCCTTAGAGCTTTTCTAAACTGTAAGTGCCTCATACATGGTTTTAGTCATTCGGTTTTACCCAACTGTAAGAGCTGTTCTGGGCAAAGCTGCTTTGTGCAATCAGGACAGGCCTGAGTGCAGATTTTAATATCAAAAGGCATTTTATCAAAAGTCATTTTATCAAAAATGGGTGGTTTTGTTCAACCTGAAACATCTCAAGATGGAAAACCTGACCTCTGCTGTCATGGGAAGGGTTTTTTTTTTTTACACCCGTTTCAGAACCTCGGCCTGATGAGCAATAATGCAGTCGTTAGCACAATATTTAGCAAAGAAAACTCTTGGAGGAGTGATGCTCTTGACCTACTTGCTGTGTGCCCAGCTGGCAGCCGTTCATGCCATCCGACATCGGCGGATGGGAGGCGTGTGTTGCCATTTGTTTCTATATGGTGCATTGATTGCTGCAATTGTTGTTGCTGTGTCTTCATCGCTCGCCAACATCTGTCTGTGGCTGTATCGAGCAGTCAGGGGTGAAGCTTGTACCCCAGAACACTGGTGTGTATTCACCTTGGCTAGGGAAGCGCTGGGTTTGTGATATTTGGGGGGTAGGGAGGGAGTATGCACTTTTATTTAAGATCATCCTTTCTCCACTTGCCAAGCCACTAGCTGAAGTGCAGAGGGCTTGGTGAGGGTCATTAAAAACTCTAAATGTGACCTCAGACCACTTTTATGTATCTAAAAACATTGCGACCTGAAAAGCTCTTTATTTCTGGCCTTTGCAAGGGCGAACTGAAATGCTCAGCCCTTTCAGGGAGCTCTTGGTTCTCTCTCAGCAGTGCCAATCAGATGCCATTCAAACCAACATATTTTTTTTTTTTGTGTGTAGAAAAGTGGTCAGTGCTGCAGAACCAATTATTGCCTGTCACACACTCTGGCCAGGTGCAAGGGTGAGGGAGGAGGGAGACAAAAAACCTTTCTGCTGTGGGCTGGTGAAATACTGAGTGCTCCTTGAATTTGCTTAAGATGTCAATCCATGACCATACACACACACATACGTGTATGTGTACAGCTGATGTAAAGCTGGAAGTGAATGCAAAGTTATTTTGTGAAGCTTTTGTACTTTGCCTGCCTTATATGTAATGTCGTTATGTAAAAATACTCCGTAGTTCTTAATTAACTGTGGTGGCTTGCACGTTACTATGGCTTCTGTTTGTATTAAAACCCTCTAAGATAAACACTGACCTTGTAAGGGTGACACGAGTGTGTAAAAATTTGCATTACGCTTAATTATCAGCCTGAGGCAGTATCATCTGCACAGCGAAAAGGAGTTGAGCAGACCTGTCAGAAGAGGTAGCACAACTTGATTAGGAATATCGGTGCTGTTTACAGTCACTCTACTGTTCTGAGGGGGAAAAAACCTTCTTTTGAATATCCTGTTACCGCTAATACAGAAAGAGGGATTGTATGAGGGTGTTTCTTCATTTCCTTAATAGTTTGACATAACAAGGAAATCCCTTCTCACCCAGAGATCAAAGGAATGAGTGTTTCATGTGAAAGGATACAAAGTCTAGTAAATGTATGAACACTTTGTTGTGCTGTGATAGTCTCGAGGTGAGCTGTGACTCTCTCTCGGTGCTGGAGAAAGCGGGACTTCAGATGAGGATGATCTGTCAGGAGCTGCCAGCTCCATCGGGCAGGGAGAGGAGTGGGGTGGGAGGGAGGAGGGCAGAGCCCCAGCAGCGGTGGAGTGGGGCTAACGCCTGTGCTGGCCCATCCAGATGGACCGCGTGGGAGGGAGAATGGGCCCTGGGCGGTGCTTCTCTCTCCTTGGCGTTCTCAAGGCACACGGTGTAATTTCAGTTGTGTTAACTTTTGCAGAGTCATTAATTTGAATCGAGGGATGCAGCCATGAAACTGGCGTGATTAGAGTCTTATTCAGTTGATTTGAGAAGGGTAAAAGCTTTGCCTTAGATTAAATGCGTATGTTCACATAAATACTTCATTGTACAGTCTTTATTAGCTACTTAATAAGACGGTAGTGATGGCTGAAACTTGAAATAACTCTTAGAGGATACTTGGCTTCTGAGCAGCTGCTGCACAGCCTGTGCATGTGCTGTGGTTTGGGATGCTTCTCTCCCTGTAAGCGCTCTTCACTGCTGCTAGAGCATCAGTGGGAGTGATAGTGGTCTGAGTCAGAAAAAGCTATGAATTCTCCTGGGTGCAGTGTGATGCTTATTCCCTCTGTGAGGGGAATGTCCTCCTCCACCCATTCCCCACCAGCAATTAACCAATTCAAGCAACAGTTGGCTTAGTGGGTGAGGATCATCTACCCAGAGAGATGCTACGCTGAGAGGATGGCTGCGTGAGCAAGTTCGTGCAGTCCATCCTTACAGTGGTTGCCCATGCGTATATACACACATTCTGGCTGTGGCGTGTGTGACTAAATCCCCCCGGAGATGGGAGAGGTTGCCTGGCCATGAGCAGGAGGTCAGCACGTGTAGAGGCACCAGGAACAGTAACTTGGCTTTGTTTTCACACAGGAGACACATGACAGAGTCCCTCCAAGATCCCACAAAGAAGCCTCTGTGGGTATATCTCTTCCTAGAGCTGTAAAGCTAAAATGTTTCTCAAACAGATATTAGCCAGATACTGATCTTAATGGCTGCTGTTGGCCAGAGAAAGGAAGAATTGCCTCCTAATGCATCCTAGAGGGACCACACATGAATGAGCTTCAGATACCCACCTTCTTGTCCATGCCTGCTAGAAGGAGCTCTATTAGAACCTTCAGTCCACAGCTCCTTTCTGACAAGCCCATTTCCAATTAGTATGACTTTAAAGTTTTCTTTTACAGTGATACTGGTCTGATAGGAACTGGACTGATACCAGCACCTTATCTCAGATGAGCAGATGGTCGTGACTTTCAGCCACTTCAGACCTGGGCAGACTCCAGCCCATGACCTGTTTCATGGTGTTGGCTGTTCCCCTAAACATCACAGTGTCTCCCAGACAGACACTATCCCAGCTATGCAGATTAAAGCTAGATACACCAGTGCTGTTTCAAGCACGCACGATCACTGCCGTCATCATGACATTGCTCTCACAGTCATAAGAGAGACTATTTTTTTACAACAGCTTCACAGCAAGCACTATTCCTGGTCCTCACTTGTTGGTGACTCTCTGTATGGGGGCATTTTTGAGCCTTCCTATATTTTAATGATTGTTGCTTGTTTCTGCTCCGAAACATTTTACCTTGTGCGTTAATTAGCTTATAAAGGCATTTAAATGGCAATCAATAGACTACATCAATTCCCTTTCAAAGGGTATTCATTCATATTGAAAGGAAAAGAAAGAACCTCTCCTTAGGTATTTATTAACATACAGTCTCAGATTAAGGACTCCAAAATACCTTTTTTCTCTTTCTTGAAAAATGGCCTGTAGTAGAAAGTAATTTCAAATCACTAAGCTACTACTTTTAAGGGTGTATCTGTTAGAATTAACATCTTCTAATACATTCAGTTAAATCTTCAGCATATCTGAGCCGCTCATCAAATGAATGTAGCACAATTTAATCCCAATTCAGCACTGAGCCTAAGTGTAGTCTAGTAGGTTTCACACCTCCAATATGCGTATATTCGAAAGACATGACCTTTACAACCAGTTAGTAATTCTTATGTAAACTTGGCTGTATTTAAACACCAGTAGAAGCAGAACCTGTTTCTAGACATTTAGAAATATAAATTGATCTTGAATTTATGATGGTGTCTTTTCATTGATGGCAGGTATCTGTGTAAAAAGGTTTCTGTAAAATAATTTGCAAAGTTTGTCTTTGGTCATTGACAAACACAGCTGACCTGCTAGTACACTTTACTGAAAACCTGCAATTTCAGAAGGTTTCCTCGGAATTGATCTGATGTGGCAAGACTTTACGGGCTGGAATATTGAGGCAGGTAACGTGTACCAAGGTCTTGCATTAGCTCCTTCTCTCTTCTGTGGGAAATTGAAGGCAGCGCATATCACACCATTACCAATGTAGTTAATCCCTGTTAACTAAAACTAAGGAAAAATTAGACCTCAAGGGACTGATAATTTGTTGTAGCACTTTGTATTTTTCTCAGCAGTGGTTTCAAGGATGTCCCTGACAAAATGACTCTGCTATCCAATGGCTCACCCATGCCTCAGATTAAATGACATGCTGCTCTGAAGTTAGTTCCTAATTTTTTCTCCCGGGAATGACATTAATTGCCATGCCTGTTAGCAGTTTCAGTAGAAAGGCCTAAAATCCTTTGAACAGGATGCTTCCTGCTCTTACAGTTGGTTACTCCTACCTGGCACTGATGTTCATGAGTAAGGGATAGAGAGTTTGGCACTGACCGTGCTTCTGCCATCGATAAAGACTTTAGGCTCAGTGCCTGGAGAAGTCAAACAGGCTGACAGCCTTCAAGCAGAGCTTGAAGATATAATTTTTTTTTCAGACATTATTTTTAGGAATTTTTTGCAACCTGGTATGAGATTCACAGCTAAGGCTAAGTTCTCCATTACTTCAGGACACATGGGAGCGATAGTTGACTTGAGGACACCGAGGAGTCTGCACATGCTTTCCCTGTGCCTCCTGTGTGAAGGTTTCACTTCTCATTGCACTTGGATAGCCTCCCCAGACTCTTCAACAATATTTTGCTCTTAATTAATGTTCTGAGAGAAGGCAATACTGTTCTTTTATGCCTTTGTGAGCACATTCAGCACTTGAAATTCCTCTTCATCAGTTTTCATAGAATCACAGAATGGTTTGGGTTTGAAGGAACCTTAAAGATCATCGAGTTCCACCCCCCTGCCATGGGCAGGGACACCTCCCACTAGCCCAGGTTGCTCAAAGCCTCATCCAGCCTGGCCTTGAACCCCTCCAGGGATGGGGCATCCAAACCAGGCTCAAATGTGAAGCCTTTCTGGACTTCATATACATATAAAATATAATGTAAAACTAGAGTTTTTAGGGCACGGGAAGTCATGT